TTGCTACTAGTAGCGTTTGCCTCCAACCTACTAGCTTCTTGCTACTACTAGCGATGGCCTCCAACCTACTGGCTTCTTGCTACTAGTAGCGATGGCCTCCAACCTACAGGCTTCTTGCCACTAGTAGGGAGGGCCATCGCCTCCAACCTACTGGCTTCTTGCTACTAGTAGCGATGGGCTCCAACCTACTGGCTTCTTGCTACTAGTAGCGACGGCCGCCAGCCTACCGGCTTCTTGCTACTAGAAGCGATTGCCTCCAACCTACTGGCTTCTTGCTACTAGTAGGGACGGCCGCCAACCCACCGGCTTCTGCTTCTTGCTACTAGTATTATGAAAAAAAGCTGTTGCTATCCCTATTGTTTTCAATTTTTTTTTCAAGAATAGAATAGGATTACAATAGGGCCCCAAAATAAGAAGAAGATAGGGCAGAAAACAAGAACAAACATGAAATAGGAAACAAATAGGATCGAATATTTCCGATTTACCGGAAGGCAGGTGGCTCATTCCGATCAGACACATGGTCAGACACAAGTGAATGAAACTGGATATTTAATAGCAGTGCGGCAATGCACAGTTAGGCCGGCATTCGATTGGAATGATTAGATTATAGATCTAATTATGTCCTTTCATTTTCCTTTAAGAATTGATTACTTCCTTTCATTTTCCTTTAAGCAATTAAAACTTCCTTCAATTTTTCTTTAAAAAATTACAAATTCTTCTAATTTCCCTTTAAAAGTCTGAATTCCTTTCATTTTCTTTTAAAAATGATTACTTCCTGTCATGTTCAATTAAAAAATGATCAATTTATGTAATTCCTCACATAGTAAATTCATTTCATTGTCTAATTAATTTGTTTTTATTCCTATTTTTTTGCTATTTTGGGGGGGCGGCGAAAATCATCCTATTTTTTACTATTTTCAATTCCTATTTTTTCCTATTTGGGGGGGGCGAAAATCGTCCTATTTTTCCTATTTTCAATTCCTATTTTTTTACTATTTTTTCTATTTTTAACTTTAAATAATAGGAACTAGACGACGAGTGGCCCGAAAGCATTTTTCATCACGTAGGAAGTCAGAGTGCAAGTTATCTGTTAAGTGTGTGGTGTGAAGTGTTAAGTCGAGTGAGTTGAGGTAGTGTGTGGGTTTCTGTGTGTGTATCTATGTCCGTGTGTATATGAGTCTGCGTGTGTGTGTGGGGTTTACAACCAATTTTCCCGCTTTTTCACAGGCAGGGGGTCGCTGGGGATTCGTGCAGTCAGCGACCAACGAAGACGCTGCACGTTTCCTGTGATATGAGTTGAGGACGCTCGACTCACGTACCTGCGACTGTTTTGAACTTTTGCCCACGCTGTTCCAATCTCTCTTGTTTGTTTCCATGGTTGTTCATGATACTTCCCACAAACCTACTCTTCCCCAGCAGCTGCGCCGCCGTTCGTCCGCTACTGTCGCGAGTCTGCAGATGCACATAAACCTTTTGTTGAAAACACCTTCAATTTGATCGGACTCTTCACCTTGCCGTTGAGCCATTCCTTTTCTCGGGAAATTGAGTTAACTGAAAACCAGTGTCAGAGTGTGTTCGTGTAGGTTGAGGCAGTGCGTGGGTGTTTGTGTGTGATGCGGCCTCCCAAACCCCCCACCGGCGGCCAAGCGGTGACAGCCCAGCTCATGGTCATGAGCATCTGAGCTGCTGGTAAGGGGAGAAGCAGCGTGCACGGCTGTAGGGAATCTCACTGAAAAAACCCAGCTGGAATGAACACAGAAAATGCTGAGGCAGCCACGCCAGAAGTGTCTCGAAGCAGTGACCTGTCAGAGGAGATGAACGAAGTAGCGCGCAGGCCTCCCAAACCCCCACCGGCGGCCAAGCTGTGACAGCCCAGCTCATCGTCATGAGCATGTGAGCTGCTGGTAAGGGGAGAAGCAGCGTGGACGGCTGCAGGGAATCTCACTGAAACAACCGAGCTGGAATGAACGCAGAAAATGCTGAGGCAGCCACGCCAGAAGCGTCTCGAAGCAGTGACCTGTCAGAGGAGATGCGTCCATCGATATATATCTTCCGGGCAAAACGTTTACTTCACTCCAGGACACAGCTTTTCTAGGATGTAGTTAACCAACCAGTATGCTTGTCATTGATTAATTGACTGTCTCAAAGAAAAACGCGACAAAGTAGCGTGAGGTGACACACAGCAGGCACTGTAGATGTTTTAGCGTACTCTCGCTGTTCTGCTCGCGACTAGTCTTTGTACACAGAAAAGATAGTGTTGTGCTTCCGCAGAACGACGTCCACACAGAATTTATCAGGAAGAAGTCACGGTATGAGACACGCAGTTGGTTGGGTCTAGCGCGTCCAGATCTGGATGGTGTAGGCATCTGCGAAGTTGCGGCTGTTGTTCCTAACCCAGTCTTCCCATCCACTGGACCACCTGATCACTCGCCAAAACTGCCAGCTGAGCAGAGAGGTTCTCTCTTAGAGTTTCACTCCGCAAAGCTATTTTGGCTAAAGCTAGCCTTGAGCCAAAATGTAACCATTTAACTTGTGCAAAGACCATGTGCTGAATGATTTGCCTACAGCAAGCCTGCCCTAAGCACTATAGGCGCCTACATTCAGTCCATGGCTTGCACTACGCTCCCTTTTCCTTTCGCTTGAACTCCAGTCGTCAAAGGCTTTCTGCCAATTGGATTGGTATCCATGCGTCAGCGTGGACCTGAGTCTCAGGTGTAGGATCTTCCTCACGTTTCACGTGTGCACCCAAGGCACTAATCCCCAATGCACGTAAAGAAAGCTGAAGACGACGCTAAGGGGAAGGAGCGGAAGCTGCCAAAGCAGGTGTGGGACTGCAACTTGATGACAACTGAAACCAAAGTCACGAATGAACGGATCTGCGAAGCCTTCAAACCACATGCTGCACTGCAGACTGAACAACCCACTCACCAGTTCTCATCTTCCCACTCCCCAGCTACTCCGCGTACTAACGTTGTACTACCAAGTCGCCAGTTCTCATCTTCCAGCTCCCCAGCTACTCCGCGTACTAAAGCTATACTACAACATCGCCAGTTCTCAGCTTCCAGCCCCACAGCTACTCCGCGTACTAAAGTTGTACTACAAAGTCGCCAGTTCTCATCGTCCAGCTCGCCAGAGACTCCACGTACTACAGTTGTACTCCAAAGTCGCCAGTGCTCATCTTCCAGCTCCACAGATACTCCGCGTACTCAAGTCGTACTACCCACACCACTTCTCATCTTTCCACTCCCCAGCTACTCTGCGTACTAAAGTTGTACTACCAAGTCGCCAGTTCTCATCTTCCAGCTCCCCAGCTACTCCGCGTACTACAGTTATACTACAAAGTCGCCAGTTCTCAGCTTCCAGCTCCACAGATTGCTCCGCGTACTAAAGTTATACTAGAAACTCGCCAGTTCTCCGCTTCCAGCTCCACAGCTACTCCGCGTACTAAAGTTGTACTACACAGTCGCCAGTTCTCAGCTTCCAGCTCCACAGATTGCTCCGCGTACTACAGTTGTACTACAAAGTCGCCAGTTATCAGCTTTCAGCTCCCCAGCTACTCCGCGTACTACAGTTGTACTACTAAGTCGCCAGCGCTCATCTTCCAGCTCCCCAGACACTCCGCGTACTCAAGTTGTACTACCCACTCGCCAGTTCTCATCTTCCCACTCCCTAGCTACTCCGCGTACTAAAGTTGTACTACCACGTCGCCAGTTCTCAGCTTCCAGCTCCCCAGCTACTCCGCGTACTGCAGTTGTGCCACGCAGTCGCCAGTTCTCAACTTCCAGCTCCACAGCTTGCTCCGCTGCTCAACCAATCGCACTCTGGCCTG